TCTGGTAGATGGTGTGGGGTGTGTGTGTGTGTTTGTGTGTGTGTGTGTGTGTCAGGGGGAGGGCTGAAAGAGTGTGCAGTTATTTTAGAGTCATGAGTCATTTTAGGGTCTTGGTTCTCGTGGAGATAGACTCTTACTCAGATTTCCAGAGAGAAGTTTTGCAAAGCAATAATAGCTTAAGAATCTCCTTTGCTAGATCAGTGTAGCCGACCTTGCCCATGGTATGAAATTTGATACCACCACCAATTCACTTTTGTCCTCACCTTCCACTTTCTGTCACCTTCTGCCGGCCCCTGTTTCTGCCCTCTGCCTGGTGGCCGTGCTCTGACGAGCCCTCCAGTTGGCTGACAGCTGGGGCCACTGTGTGGTTTGCCCCCGGACTCGTCGACATCGATCGCTGACTGGCTGCGTTTGTGTCACTCCTTCATTGCAGGTTACTTTCAATACGTAAAAAACAGAACTGCAGCGGGGGGCTGAGTGTTTAGATGCAAGCACGCGTTTAGAAGAGCTTCCCAGTTTCCACCCATCACACATTTATTATGTCAGTCGTTCTCACAGCGAGAGAAACCACAGAATGTCAGCCCTGAGACCTTGGGGAGTGCAGCCCACAGAGTTTTACATCTCTGGGAACAGATTTTATGTCTCAAAATACAGATGTTCCTGGAAGGGCTCCCGTTCATTTTTGTTCCGTTGCTTTTACCTTATGCGGATGAACTTATCAGTTCCTTTCCTGAGAGCAGATGTTTGGTGGGGAGGAAGGAGAAGGTAGGAGGAGAGCAGAGAGGGACAGAGTGATGCCAAGGCACTGGGGTCAGCGTGTGACCTGCTTCCCCAGACCCTCCCTCCAGCTCCCACCTCCCACTCCAATAGTGTTCTCCAGTCCAGAATGGAGCAGTCACTAACTGGGATCGATCGCCATTTCCCTGCAGAAATGAACACGGCTCTCTGGCTGGCGTGATCAGCAATTTCTCAGCCAACAGGGCGCCCGTGCTCGGCTCTGGGAGACAATGAACCTCCCGGAGAGTTAGCCAACAGCACAGTCCCTGCTTCCTGCTCACCAGACTGTTGTCCCCAGTTGCTCCTAGCACAGTCACCACTTGCTGGTTGTTCAGAGGGTCACTGAACAGCCACCCTGTTGCTGCCGCCAGCAGGAAGGAGCCGCTCCTGGGGTAGGGGCAGGGCAGCCCAGGGGGCTGTACTCACATGAGGGAAGCAGACGGGGCTGTGCATACAGAAGTGAGGGCCGGGTCCTGCATGAGGACGCAGCCAGTGCAGCCTTGAGGTTCAAGTCATGCCCTACCTGCCAAGCCCGTTTTCTCCAATTCGCAGGTTCTTTTCAGCTTGCCAAGCTCTGCGCCTGCCAGACTCCATCTACCAGAGGGGGTGCCTTGTGCAAATCTGCAGAAATGGACTTTGTATGCTAGAGTGGGCCTGCCCGGGCTGGGCTTCAGGGCCTTGGAGACCACAGGCCTCACGGCTGTCCCAACAAACCTGCCAGGCCATGCCAGGGTCTGGGCCAACAGCAGCCAGCCACGCTTGTGAGCCTCCTTCGTCCCTCCCCCCACCCCCCTCCTTCCTTCTCTCTTTCCTCTCTTCCTTCTTTCTTCCTTTCTCTTACTTGCTTTTTAGTTCTTCGATGATTCTGGAAAACTATTAGTACCGCAAAAGAAAGAGCCTATGCAAAAACAGGCCAGGCTTTGTACCTTTGAAACCAGCCTCCAAAGGGCTTCTGACATCTGTTCCTCGGCCTCCCATCCCGCCTGGCCTGGAGCACTGCGCACCTCCCTTCGGGGGGAGCCTCGTCTGTCCTGGCCCTGCAGGCCGTGCCCCAGCCCCAGGCTCTGGTCCGTGCCCTGTTCTTCTTGATGGCACTGCCCCAGACCGCTCCACCCACCTCCCGGACAAAGGCAAAAACAGGGCGCATTTTCCCTCCCTCTCTCTGTCCCCTCGTCTCCAGACGGCACTGTGTTTTCTCAGTGGGATGACTCACTCCTCTGTCATCCTCTTGCCCCTCGGCCTGTGCAGCTGCGCTCTGCCTCTGTGCGGTGTGGCTGAAACACTCACAGCTTCTGCGATGCTCGCTGGCCCCAGACGAGTGTCTCCAGCTTGAGGCCCAGCGTGGCCGAAGAGGCCAAAGAAGAGAAGAGACGAGGCTTAACTCTCCCGGGAGCAGAAGACCAGAACACACGCCTGTCCTTGACGGTGGTTCTGCAGTTAGTTGCAAGAGGGCTCACATGTTGGGGTTTTCACCAGCCCCCAGTCACATCCTTCCCCCATCGGGGCCCCACCCAGCCCATCAGTCCTGGCAGGGAGCTGGGCCCTGCGGAGAAGCAGGGGAGGGGATGCGTCCCCTCTCCCTGCTCACCTGGCAACGTTCTAACACGCAGACTTACATCTCCTCCAGAGGTGTCCTGAGAAAAGACCAAACCAATCCCCCACCTGGGTGGGGGCGTGTGGGTATGGGAAGGCCCGCTGGCTCGCTGCTAGGTGGAATGAAGGTACTCATTTACCTCCCACTTCGTAGCTCACCCCAAGTCCTTCAGCAGTCTGAGAGCTTGGCGTTCTCCTGTCAAGGTTTGCCTCAGAGGAAACAGGGTGGGACCATCCATGAATATGTGACCTTCAGGTTAAAAAGGGAGACATTTAAGATTTTGTTAAAGAATTATTTTATTATTTACTTATTTTAATTTGACCAGACAGTGAGAGAGAAAGAGAGAGAGAGAGAGAGAGAAAGCAAGTTGCCAGGTCTGGGACTTGAACCACGGTCTGCCATGTGGGAGTCCAGCAGCCCTTAACCACCATGCCACCTGCCCCAAGAATATTTGTATTCTTTTTAACTGGCAGAGGGCACATGCACTCACTAGAGATGAGAGACAGAGAGAAGGGAAGGAAGAAAGCACCCCTCCGTGGGGCATGGAAGAACCACAATCCTTTCTCCTCCATTTCTGCATCCTGTCTGGATTTGGGCGACCACACACTCACACTCACACACACACACACGTGCATCCAGAGTGCTTTTCAAGCCACCAGGGCCAGGATTTGAACTGGGGTCAGCCACATGGGCTCTGGTTCCCTTATCCACCAGGCTATGAGGCTAGCCAGAGATCTATTTTGAAAAGGGTATATAATTAAAGGAATAAAATGAAGGAGGGGAATTTAAGAGGAATGTTAAGAAATTTTGGGAAAGGAGAAATTTAAGAAAACCTAAGAAAGGAAACTCTAGCATAGTTCCCTGCGATCAGGAGGTCCAGCCTCCCCTCCCTCTCCCTTCTTTCCTCTGAGGCTGTCTGAGGGTGTGAGCTGCTCCTCCCGGGAAAGGCTGTGGGGGGCCTTGATTGTGCTGGGGAGACCCAGGCCCAGCCTGCTCTTCTATCTCCAACAGGGAGGTTCTTTCTGAAGGAGGCAGAGCCCACCGGCAAGGACTAAAATCCTGGGGCCATTGAGCCCAAGGCCCTGGTATCCTGGGAAAAGGGGGAGGGGACCAAGGTGGTTGTAACCGAGGGGAAGTGAGTCAGGGAAGACAGGGCCTGCTTGCCTGCCCGTGGAAACCGGGTGAGAGGACCTGCCAGGCCACAGGATAGCACCGACCGACTAACTTACTTTCAGCTGTTGGGGGCAGAGGGAGATCCCTGGGGAAGGACGGGGAATCGGGGAACTCCGGGTCCAGGAAGATCTGAGTCTCATGAACAGAACCAGATGCCTCTTCTCTCTGCAAACCCGCCAGATCTGTCACAGTCTATAAAAGGAGACGGACACTCCGATGGCATGGTGGGGCGGGCCGGGGGCTGGTGGGAAGCGGCCTCGCTCTGTCAGACTGGCAGTCAGCTGTGGACACAGGCTCTGTAAGCAGAAGAGCCAAAACAGCCGGGGTTGGATCCCCGCAGCTGTCTCTAAGCAACTCCAAGGGGACATTGGTGTGACTCCTCTGCTCGACCCCAGGGCTGGCATTTCCTTCCTGGAAACCAAGCCAGGGCACTGTGGTCCCCACATTGGCGGGCCAGGATGCTCTTACCCTTCAGGCCACAGAAACCTCCATGCAAACCATCTCCGGGCAACGCCGTGTCCATTGCCAGATGATGGGCACACAGATTATGGTCTGTCCAGACGATGGAACATTATTCAGGCTTAAAAATGGAGGAAACTTTTGTTAAGTTTCTTCCATGAGTGAGAGAGACAGGAAGACAACATCCCCAACATGGCTTCCACGCCCAGTCTCAGCCAGCTCTGGATGATGGGCACACACGGGCCCAGCATATTCAGGGAGGTCTCCAGACGTGAACCCAGGGCCTACGAGGAAGGAAGTTGCGACATGCGCTACAATTTGGTTGAGTGTTGAGGGCACTATGCTGAGTGAAATAAGCCAGTCACTAAAGGACAAGCATGCACAATTCCACTGACACGCAGGGCATGGAGTGGTGGAATTTATAGACAGAAGGTAGAATGGTGGGTCCAGCCATGAAGGTGCATGCGGTGAGGCACCACTGTGTAATACCGTGGCCATCTTGGAAGGCCCTGGGTTTCGGTCCCCGTAGACCTGAACACTCAGGCGAGTCTGCATGCCTGTCATCCTCGCTGGCTGGAAGGCAGATGGGAAAGGGGATCGAAGCATGACAAGACCCTGCCAGTGTCCCTGTCTCCCTCTCTCTCTCTCTCAATAGATCAACTGAAAAAGAAAACAGTAGTGGCGGTCAGGGGCTAGGGCAGAGTTTCCGTTTGGGACAAAGCAGACGTCCTGGAGGTGGACGGTGGTGGTGGTCACATGACGGTGTGAATGTGCTTAATGCCACTGGACAAGCAGGCAAGGCTGTCGTGGTGGATTTTATATTGTGTGTATCTTATCATAGTAACAATACATAAAATAAGAAAAAATCATCTTGGTCTTGGCACTTCTCCCGTGGGAGCTGGTGCTGGGGGAGCCGGCCATGATGAAACCACACGTTCTCAAATGAGGATCCTGTGACCTCTCGCACCATATGATGAAGCTTGTTCCTCTGCTTCAGAATTTCAGGGACGCGCTGAAGAGGCGGTGACCGCGATGCAGGGAGAGCTCTTGTGCGTGCTGCTGCTGTGTGGCGCAGGCCTCACCCTCCCCAGCCAGGTAGGCCGCGGTGCTTGGAACGCGCCTCAGTCTCACCAGGACTCCGCATCCACCTGTGCCCCAGGGGTGGGAGATGTCAGAGTTAGGAGGCCAACGGACAGAGGGCCCACGCACTGTAGAACATGCTGTGGGACACTCGGGACTCAGCGTCCCGGCAGCAGATCCCTGGGCTTGTTCTGGCTTGAGGATGTAGCTTTTAACTCTGCTCGGCTGTACTGGGCCTATTTGGGCTGTTTGTAAAGACTGTGTCATGGGACCAGCAGATGGCATCATGGTTACACCACTGGATTCCCACATGGTTGACCGTGGTTCGAATCCCAGACTCAGAGGCTTGAAACTCAAACTGGGCACGTGTGCATGCATGCCCAAAATCCCAAGAGAAGTGACTGTGGTATGGCCATCTCACCTGGGGGGGGGTTGTTTCTCGCTTTCTGTCTCTCTGTCTCTGTCTTTCTCTCTCCCCAGTGAGTGCACATGCTCTAGAGAAAAAAATCTCTCCAAAAAAAAAAAAATGACTATGTCGGGACCAGCCGGTGGTGTCGTGGTAAAGGCAACTGGTTTCCACACGGCCAACAGCAGTTTAAGTCCCAGACCCAGCGGCTTGAAAAACACATCGGGAGCATGGGTGTGCTGCCCCCAATCCCGACAGGATGGAGAAATGGAGGAGAAGGGATTGTGACAAGGCCATCCCTCTCAGGGAGGGGGCTTTCTCACTTTCTTTTCCTCATTCTCTGGTGAGCATACACACCCTATAACAAATTGTTAAAAAGAAAGAAAAGAAAGTGAATTACGCAGTGAAGTGTGTATAGAAAACAGTGCAAGGGGCCAGCCATGCCATAATGGTTCCGTCGCTGGACTCCCATAAAGTCAACCGCAGTTCCAGCCCTGCACCTGGTGGTTTAAAACTCATGCCGGGTGTGTGTGCATGCATGTCCAAGATCCTGAGAGGAGAGTGGAGGAGAAGGGACTGCGGTGTGGCCATCCCTCTGGGGCTGATTTCTCGCTTTCTGTCTCTCTGTCTCTCTGGTGAGTGCACGTGCCCTATAGAAAAAATCTCTTTAAAAAACGGAAAACAATGTGAGTGCCATGAGCTATAGAAGCGGTGGGCTCTGCCGGGCTGACCAACACGCCTCTCTCCACAACTGCCAGCCGCTCCACAGGGAGACTCAAGGAAGGGCTATCTGGGAGGGTGACACGGAGAAATACTGTAACTTTTTAACTTAAAGTGAGCTAAAATTAAAAATGCAGTCCCACGAGGCACATTTCAAGCACTCAGTGGCCACCCGTGATTGGTGGCTCTGGCTTGGCCAAGAACAGAGAGAAAACATTTCCTTGGAGCGGGAAGTTCTTTTGGACAGCGCTAGTCTGGACGGGGAGGAACTGGACAGGGCAGGAAACGCCATTCCACCCGGGGCTGGTTTCCTGAGGGGACCTCTGGGCAGGGGACATCTGACGGGCATGCTCATTGGTTTGGCCACCTTTGCTCTTAAGGTTAGCACGTGCTGAGCTCCTCCTACCCTCGGCTTCTTTGCAGGAAAACCACCTTCGGTTCAGAAGAGGAGCCAGATCTTACAGAGGTAAGATGAGGCTGGGGTGGAAGCGGGTTGATGGGAGCCGGAGGCAGGGTCTGAGCTTAGGGAGGTTTAGGGTCGGCTGGAAGATTCATCTTCACCCATGACCCCTAACCACGTGCAGGTCACTCTGCAAAGACGCCTGCTATTCACCAGTCACTTTGCCAGCTGACACTAGCCCAGAAGGTTCTCAGAGGATCCCATGGTCCAAAGTCCTGGGATTTGCAAAGACAACCAAGCCCCAGAGAGACTGAGAGACTTGCCCAAAGCCACACAGCTGCACCAGCCATGGTGGCCCTGGCCCTCTGTGTGTTTTTGTTTTGTTTTGTTTTTGTTTCTTTTTAAAGGGAGAAAACAGCATGTGTACTTGCCAGAGAAAGAGGCAGAAAAGGAGAGAGAGGGAGAAAACATCCCATCCTCTACAGAGCATGGTCACCCCACAAATCCCTCTCCTGTTCTCCATCCTGTTGGGATCTGGGGCACACATGCACAAGCCTCCAGGGCTCAGCGTCAAGCCAGACAGCTGGCCAGGTTGATCTGGCTTCCTTAACCACTGAGCTGAGGGGCCAAACCCTCCCAGGTCTGGGGCCCTGGGCTGTGGTCCTGCCCTAGCCCACTCAGCATGGTGTTTACTAACGTCCCTGTGTGTTTCTTTCGGTTGATGAGACAGAGATAACTAACCCAGGCTTCCTCCCAGGCGCGGTGTGGAAAGAATGTCTCTAAGCCTGCGTCTACAGCCGTCTTTAGAGCCAAGGGACAGTCTCACAGGGTTCCAAGCCCTCCTCCAAGAACAGCAGGAGTATTGCTTACAGCGGGCTTGTGTTACTCCCGTAGTTAATTCAAAGAATAGTTTCTGGGCTTTAAGTTGGCGTGCTGGTTCAAAAACAGAAAAAAGGAAAGAAAACATTCACGGGAGAACCGCAGCTGTTCTCATCAGACTAAAAATACTAATGGAAGTCACACGTGCCAACACAGACCGGAATGTCAATTTTCTTTGTTTTGGGCCAAAAATACGTCATTTCTGCATAGTAATATTCATCTGAATCCAAGTCTGGTAGTCAGTTATACAGATCTGTATATTTTTGTTGAATTAAAATGAAAAAGTAGTGTTTTGCTTACTAAGTGTATTTTGATAGATAATTTCTTTCAAAGCAAGAGCCCTCCAGGGGGGAAAAAAAAAGAGGGGTCTTTGATGACCAAATATCAGGTATTTATTAATAGTCTTCCAGGTGTACTCCTTGAAGAAAGGAATACACAATGACAGAGCCCACTGGAGGGACGGGGTTCATTAGGTGTGGAGGGCGTGTCATTGCTCCCGCGTCTGCCCTAACAGGCCACCTCCTTTTCTTACAGTGACCTGCCGAGACGAGCAAACGCAGACGACATACCAGCTGCACGAGGCGTGGCTGCGCCCCCTGCTCAGGGGCAACCGGGTGGAGTACTGCAGGTGCATGAGTGGCAGGCCGCTGTGCCACTCGGTGCCCGTCAAAAGTACGTCTGGGCCAGCATGTGGAGTGGTGGTTAAGGTGCTGGACTCCCACATGGCCAACTGTAGTTCGAGCCCCAGACCTGGGCTTGTAAATCATGCTGGGTTCGTGTGTATGTGTGTCCAAGAGGAGAGTGAAGAAGGGACTGCGGCGTGGCCATCTCCCCTGGGGGGGTGATGTCTCACTTTCTTCCTGCCTCATTCCAGCATGCACGTGCACACTGGCACAAACCTAACACAGAACAGGAACATGTGTGAACTGCATGTGGGCTCCACGTGCTGAGCATAGGGGAGGGTGCCCGTCCATGTCCTGAGACCCTCCTGCCTGCGCCAGGCACACACGTGTGCCCCGTGCTCATGGCCAGCTGAGGCTGGGCTGGAGCAAGTGTGAAGACCACCCTGCTGGGCTGCTCCCCTTCCTCCCTCCTTCTCCCTTTCTTTTTTTTTTTTTTTTTTTTTTTTTTTTTGTGGGGGGTCTATAGGGCGCATGCACTCGCCAGACAGACAGAGAGAGACAGAGAGACAGAAAGTGAAAAATCACCCCTAGGGGGGATGGCCACGCCACAATCCCTTCTCCTCCATTCTCCTCTCCTCCCATCTCCCTTTCTAATGCAAGAAAACATGAAGAATACAGACCAAGTTTAGGCTGAGGCCATGGGAAGGGAAAGTCCAGGCATGTGTGCCTGGGCCCAAAGTGACAGCAGAAAAAGACAAGATGGGCAAGGCCAACCGTGACCTTCGCTCGCCGTGCCTCACTCCCCTCATCTGTAAAATGGGGAGAATGATAGTCCCCAGCCCATGGTCTGCGGTGAGGCTTCCATGGGTTAAATTCTGTACACGGTAGAGAACAATGCCTGGCACCCAACAGCACTCTTAAAGTTCTAACTCGTATTGTTCTTGGAGCTGCTTTTGAAGTAATTAGGGGTCCCATGTTTATATTGGCAGGTTGCAGCGAGCCAAGGTGTTTCAATGGAGGGGCGTGTCGGCAGGCCCTGTACTTCTCAGACTTTGTCTGCCAGTGCCCTGAAGGCTTTGTCGGAAAACGCTGTGAAGTAGGTGAGTGGGCAGGGGCGTGTGAGAGGCCCAATCCCAACTCCCAGATCAGCCATTAAGCAGAGGACGTTGGTGGGGCAGGGGCAGTGGAGGGCACCGAGTTGCCAGGCCCAGTGCACGCAGCCGGGGGTGGAGCTCTGGAACCTGGCTCTACCCGTCAGCTGTCCTCCCGCACCACCCGCGGCACCCAGTCCCGCCACTTCAGCTGCCAGCCTGCCTCGTGGCAGAGGTGAGCGAGCCCTGTGTCCTGCTCCCTAACAGATACCCGTGCCACGTGCTACGAGGGCCAGGGCATCACCTACAGGGGCACCTGGAGCTCCACCAACAGCGGGGCTGAGTGCACTAACTGGAACAGCAGCGCACTGACCAGGAAGCCCTACAGCGCGCGGAGACCGGATGCCAGCAAGTGGGGCCTTGGGAATCACAACTACTGCAGGTGAGGTCTCTTCCCTAGGCAGGCCTTCCTCCAGGGGAGCACTACAGCCAGGAAAAGCAGTGATCAGATCAGGCAAGGTCCTGCAGACAGAAGCAGAGCTAGAGAGAGGAAGGGGACAGAGATTTGTCTTCAGGAAGGAGCAGGCAGGTGCAAACCAGACGGGGCTTGGAGCTGTGGTCACGGGGCAGAGGCAGAATTCCTTCTCATTTCTGCTGTTGAGACATTCGACTGACAGGACGAGGCCCCTCACATCATCGAGGGCAATTTCCTGTACTTAGGGTTAACTGGCTGTAGAGGTCACTACATCTACAGCGGACCTTTCCAGCATACCCAAACTAGTGTTAGGCCGTCACCGGGGACTGTGGCCTGGCCCAGTTGACACGGGAGACTCTCCTAGTCCAACATCACTCGTCAGCCTGGTACCCACGTCATCTCCTTAAACCACACTGACCTCCAAATAAAGACGATAATGAAGTCATGCTTCAGCCCCACACGATCCCGCTGTCCAGTGTACAACCAGGAGTCACTGACCCTCCCCCAGAAGCATACGCAAGCTCATCTCGGGGCCTGAGAAGCGAGTATCTGTGCTAACCTCCCCCGCCCCGATGGCTAATTTTTTAGAAACCCAGACCGAGACTCCAAGCCCTGGTGCTATGTCTTCAAGGCAGGGAAATACGTTGAGGAGTTCTGCAGCACACCGGCCTGCTCCAGAGGTAAGCACAGCCTCCGCCTCCCTGCAGGCACCAGGGACAGCCAGCAACAGCTCTGCCTCTGCAGCCCAGGACAGTGCAGAGGCTGGAGGCAGCCCCTGGGTTATAGAGGGAAGACAGAGGCCTCGGTCACCCACCACCCGCTGACTTTCTGTTTCCTCATCTGTGAGGGGAGGCCTGAGCCAGGGGTTTCCAGTCCTGAGGATGAATGGGGAGTCACCCATTTGGACAATGGGCCCATTTCTCTTTCTCTCCCTCCCCACGTTTAATGTGAAAACATTTCCCAGAAAAACAATGACTAAGTTTTAAAAAGTACTGAACATTCAGTTGTGCTTTCGCAAATAATTACATTATTTATCACAACAGTACGAAAGATTTTTTTAAATGATATACACATAAAAATAATGTGCAGCTAGCCAACAGGTCTACCTGTAATGCTGGTCTACCTGTGGATGCGAAGACTCCTTCAACAGCCTAAAGCCTGGGGCCAGCAGGTGGCATGGGGGTTAAAGCTGCTGGATCCCCACACAGCTGATCATGGTTTGAGTCCTGGGCCTGGTGGCTGGAAAATCACGCTGACTGTGTGTGCATGTGTGCCCAAATTCGGGAAAGGAGAATGGAGGAGAGGGGATTGTGGCATGGCCATCCTCCCCCTGGGGGGTCATTTCTCACTTTCTCTCTCTCTACTTTCTGGCAAGCACACATGCTCTCTGGCAAAAATAAATAAATTAATTAATGAATTAAATTAAATATAAAATTAAATTCAATTAAATTAAAAAGGCCTACAGCCTCCTTCCCATCTCCCAGGAGCTGGTGGAAGTTAGGCCTTACAGACCTAGATGGTCTTCAAGATCCCTGGACTTACGACTTAGGCAGAGAGATGTACTTGGTCAGTTTCAAGTGGGGAGAAAAGAGGGTGGAATTAGGCAAATGGATGAAAACACAGCACCTCCGGCTCCCCCTCCCAAGCTCACAAACCTTCAGGACACTGGCCAACAAACCTAGGAAATTAGAACTTGCTGGCCTGCCCCAAATGAAGCACCCCGCGGCATACACACGAGGAAGCCCCAGTTACTTGCCGAGCAGCCCCAGGGACAGTGGCCACTGACCGGGCACAGCAGCCTCCCTGCGGGACCTGCACCAGTCTCTCAGCGGAGGAATTGGGCCCAGGGAATCCGTCGCCATCTCCAAGCAGAGGACTTGAGGAAAGAGCCCCGGGGAGGCAGGAGCGTCCCGCCTTTCTCACTGCCGGGAGGGCCACCTCTGCTTCCCTGGCCGGCGCCTCGGCTTCCAGCCAGACCTGCCTGCTTCAGCATTTGCATGGTTATGTTTCAGTTTGGGATTTCTTTTGTCGCAGGAAAACGTGGAGACTGCTACTTCGGAAAAGGGTTAGCGTACCGTGGCACCCACGGTTTCACCACGTCCGGGGCCTCCTGCCTGCAGTGGGATTCTTTGATCCTGTTAGGCAAGACGTACACGGCGCGGAAGAGCAACGCGCAGGCACTGGGCCTGGGCGGACACAACTACTGCAGGTGCGCATGGGCTGGGCTGGGGTCTGCAGGGAGCGGGGCTGGGCGGCGGGTGGACGAGATTTCTCACCTGAGTTTACTGAGGGACCCAGTGGGAGGGAAGGGGCCAGGGGCAGTCCCTAGCGGGGTGACTTCTCAACTTCCTCACTGTCTCTCTCTTCTCTGGCAAGCACAGTGTCTTATGGCTAGCCACCGCCCCACCCCCGGAAAAAATGGCCTAAATCCTCCTTCCCATCTCCCGGAAGCTGGTGGAAGTTAGGATCCCTAGGTTTATGACTTGGGTAGGGGCGTGACTTCTCCAGCCTGTCCTTTGCTACAATTATACCTCTTATGGAAAGCAAGGTGCTCTGGTATTCCGACCGAGACCCCAGGTTAGGTCCTGTCGCAGAACCACTTAGCCCCAGCTGGTCCCTTCTGGCCTGGCACCTATATTCCAATGAGAGGCAGGTTTCTTCAGACAGCTGGCGGGTCCCCCGAGCACCCAGAGAAGAGAATGCTGCAGTTCGGCTAAGAGACCGGTTAAGACAAGCCCTTTCCCTAACGTGGGGGCTGCTTCAGAGT